TAAACAATTGTTGAATTAAAATGAAATAAGTGTTTATAAAAATACATTTACATTATTGAGAATAAATTCTGGAAAGATAGAATTAAATAATAACAATAATAATAGCTGTTATTTGTACTAATATTTTGGAATCAAGCATTTTAAAATACTGGGTGGCAGAGTTTGAAGTTAACCTCCTGAGAGTAAATATCCTGTTACAATGCCCTTTATGACAGCTTTTTCTTGTTTGTATTTAATCTCAAGTTCCCTGTGTTTTAGTTCAATCTGAGAAAAAAATATTATAAGTATTTAACTATAGACTAGTAGGTGCTAGAAATCTGTGTTATATGGATCTCTGAGAACATGGTGGACCCTGATGTGACCTGATTTTTCTGTAAGTGCATCCGAGTATTTGTAAATAGGTAACAATCAAGGGATAAGGTAAACACAGTAAACACCTTTCTCTAGCTTCTTACCAGCTTCGTGAGGAAGAGAGAGTCTTCTCTGTCTTCACCAGCAGAGAGAGAACAGGCTACAGTTCTGGAGTCATGGACTTTATAGTAAGGCAGGATGCAGCTGTTGGGCCATCGGTAGGATATGAATCTCCCTGGGGCCATGGACAGAGAAAAACCAATCTCCTTCTCTCTTCATCTATAAACACAGGGCAGGGCTGTGTAATCTCAGGAGGGTTTTTGCTACTAAATCTAGTGACAAGTGGTCCAAAGGGACGTGAAATGCAAAGCAAAAGAAGTCAAATCATACATATAAATGGGAAGTTAAGACATTGTTCTAGTCACTGGGGAATAGAGAGGTATATGTCATATACAGCCCAGTCTCAAGGCCCATGTTCCTACTCTAGCACATCGACCTATAGGGAGGATGATTTGTACATACACAAATCTATCTCTGTTCAACCAGTCACTAGTTTTTCCCCAAGGAATAGGTCATCTCCTGGTATAGTAATTGGGCTCTATTTTGCTAGTGGCCAGGGTCACTGTGGGGGGATGATGAGTGCTCACATGCATGTGTTCTTGTTTTCTTACTAGCTATTTTCCTGTGGTAGTAAGGGCTTGGGATCTTGGGTGAGTTTGGCCATCCTTGTCACCGTGGGCAGTTAGATAACAGGTGCAGACTACTTAATAAGTCTAGTGACTCTTGATTCATAGGAAATGAGAAAACCCACACTCACACATTATGTGTCTGTTTTATAGAGAAGCTTCACAATGGCAGTAGTGAACCTTGTGTTTGCCTAGATATCAATAAAACCAGTAACAGTTCTTCATTTAATTATTTTTCTTT